ATCATTTCCTTGCCTCTTCCAGCTTTTGGTGGCTGCCAGCCTTCGCTGGCTTGTGGCTGCATCATGCTTTTTCTCTGTTTCCACAGTCACAGTGCCTTCTCTTCTGTATGTAGTCAAATCTCCTTTGTCTCCCTCTTGGAAGGATACTTGTGATTGTATTTAGGACCCACCTGGATAATCCAGGACAATCTCACTGTTTCAAGATCCTTAACTTAATAATATCTGCGAAGTTCTTTTTTTGCCATATAAGGCAATATTCACAGATTCCAGAGATTAGGACATGAATATTTTTGGGAGTCTATTATTCAGCTTACCATAGCAATCTCTGTGGACAACAGACTATCTTCTTTTCTCTAAGAACACTCTCTACTACATTCTGGGCAAGTTACCTCCAGTGTTCCCTTGAGTAATATCAGTGTTAGGGAACTAATATCATTGGCCATATTGGGCTTCGGTTTATATACCAGAGTAATCCTGGAATACATATAGCTTCAGCTGGATCCAGGTACTCACATGGTGACTTGGTTGCTCAGGAGTTGGTCTCTCTATCTCTTAGTTCTCTTTTTTATCTTTAAATTGAATTTCTTTAGCAAGATAATGCTAAGATGACAAGATGATCACCAATGACCCAAACGACCTTGCTATCTTCTTAGACATCAGTTGAAAAGCTTCATTAAAAAAAAAAAACCAATTTGTAGAATTTGCATTCATTGGGCTGGGCCAATCTTGAATTGAGTCAGTCTCAATGAAACTCCAGGGACATTAAGTAAGGAGTGATGGTCTCCCATAAAATGTTAAAAAGGCACTATCAGCAAAAGGGAAATATTTGTTGGTCAGCTACCAAAACAGATGTACTATGCAAAGCATCACAGATAATATGCAAAACATTACATATGCTGTATGTAATCATAGTTTCAGCTGTACATTTTGCTGGAGGCCTATGGAATCAATCCCAGCACTCTATAGTTGTATGTCAGGCTCTGTGTACATTTGTGTTTGTTTATATTTTAGATAAAATTTACCAGATGGGAGAAATCCATTGGTGATGCCTAGCTGGCTTGGTGGAAGTGATCAGAGGATGTGGGTAAATTCATCTTTGAACAAATGAATTAAATATGCACAGTAAATGGTTTAATGCACAGCAGGAAAGTGGCGCCTACGCGTTGGGGAAGAAAGCAAAGCCAGCAGAGCAGCAAGCTTCATGCAGCCACTCCTGTGGTCAGGTCTGAGAGGTGGCGATAGCCAGGAGGCTAGCAGAGTGCTTTGTAGCACAGAGCTTGTCTGAGTGTGCAATATGTTACCTACAGCTGGGTCTGGCATAATCATCCCTGACTAATGGGAGGTGAGAGGACGGGGTTCAAGTACTGAATAAATAAATTACCTAATTACATATTATCAGAGAGAAGAACAGATGGTCAGCTTAGCCCATCTCCTGATGCCTTTGGCTTCAGAATGGAGAGTAAATCTCGTGAGACTGGAGCAGGTTGGGCTCTTGATTCTGTTTATCTCCTGGTCCTACCAGAGGTTCATGGTGTTTAGGAATAAACAGGCCTCACTTCTTCAAGGCTGAAGGGCACTGGGTGCTCCAGTGCCCATTCTAAACTAAAGCTGGGCAGGCCCAAACTAGTCGGCATTTTCCACTTTGTTAATTTTGGCACCAGATGGAGATGTAAATGCATTTCATTTCCTGTAAAATGGTTGAAAAGTGATTTTCAATTGAGAATCTGATAAAATATGAAGGGAGTAGTTGAGCATTTACTTCATGTGCTCAGGAGTATCTCCTATCTTGTCAGACCCTACACTTGTTTTCCTTGGCTTTCGATGTCCTCATAAAGAACCCACTTTTTCTGTGTCCTGGTTGGTCTGCTGTCAGAGGGAAGTGTGTGTGAATGATGTGGGATTCTGGAAGCACCACGTTTGTTTTCAGATGCCACAGTTTGGCAAGGGAAGGTCTTCAGAGAGGGTGGGTGGTTCCCAAATGCTGGTCTGGGGATAGTTGTCAGGTTGGCTGCGGCGGAATCACCTATGTTGTTTATTGAAGCTATTTGTTCTTTAGCTCCAAACATAAAGATTCTGATTCATTAGGTCTTAGGTAGGTTCTGGGAATCTGTGTTTCTAAAAACTCTACAAATGATTATGAATGAAGTTTGGAGATCATTCTATCAGTTGGGTAGCAGGAAATGGAAAACTCGAAGAGGTGATTAAAGATACTTTAATAGCTGCTTATTTACAAATGCATGGGCAAGTTTAGGGGAAAATGTTAAGGGATGGTGAGCTATCCTAGCAGTAGTAGGAAGTAGGTGCAAGGGGAGGAAGGAGTTATCAGAATTTGGTGGGACTTGTAGGTGTAAGAGAAGACCCCTGGACAGGAACCATGGACAGCTATTGTCACTCCATCATCTAGCAGGGAGGAAAACTTCTCTCTCCTTTTGCTCTTTGATCTCTTTCTGGAAATTTTCATTGGCCAAATCCAAAGGGCCAGGGAGTCCAGGTGATGCAGTCTATAAAAATCAGACTTTTGAGACACCAAAGAAGGTGGAGAATTCTGGAGAGTGGAACTGGAGGAGCAGGTAAAGAATATCTAGCACATGTTAGTATAGATAATATTTTCTATTTATATATTTGTGTCAATATGCAGATATGTTTTGTTTTACAGACATGCCTTTTTTGGGGGAGGGAGTGTAAAATAACCTCCTCAATAATTTCATCATAGAGATTGCAAACCCTTAAGGAACAGGGCTAACATCTTTAGAATTATCTTCCTGTGCGCTGCCCGTGGTTTAGCCAGTTCATATTCTTTCTCTGGAAAGGGCTGCAAGGAGAATATTTTGGAAGATCATACATTTTGGAGAATGTTTTGGAAGTTGTCTACCTGGTTGAGAACTTTACATTGACCAATATATTTTTAGAATGCTCTAATCTCTCTTATTAAGTTATTATGGCTCTATTATTCTGTATTATGTGAATTTACTTATACACTATAGGTAGCTGTTTATATTTGTAACCAATATGATCTTCATACTGAATATGTCTCCTTAAGGAAACCACTTTGGTATACTTCCAAGATTATACCAAGATTATAAAAGATTAATTATAAAAGATTAATTCAGTTGTATTAACTTTTTACTTTTTTTTGTTTTATGTCAGAAATTTATTTCACTGTATTTGAAGCTTACACTAATGTTTATTTGTAATTTCAACTCCACATCAGAAGGATTGGATTAATTTTGATTATAGTATGTTGCCTATGAAGATTTGAGCACACCTGAATATAACAGTAAAAGAAACTTTTAGAAACTGTCCATGGAATCCCTGGAGATTTGTCTATAGCTTCTGTTTCAAGACTCCAGCTTCCTTCCCCCCAGTGAGGAAGTTTTTGACATTTAGTGTCTCCCTTTATGAAGAAACTAACAGCTCAAAGACAAAGTCTTCCATTACAGCTATTCATTAGGTCCCCTGTGTCTGGTAAAGAGGACAGGCCTGGTCCACACCAAGGGAATAATACATATACTGATTGCCAGCATCTTTTCGTATGTAACGTGTCCTAGGCACTTGATATGCCGTTTAGTTCTTCCAGTTGGTCAGGCAGAAAGCTTTGGAGTAATCTTTGAGCCCTCCCTCCCCTCCCGCCTTTTTTTCCACATATCTATATAAATCTATCAACAACTCCAGAAGTCTCTACTTTCAAAATATATCCAGAATCTGGTCACCTCTTACCACGTGCAATGCAGGGTGTTAGTTCAAGTCACCAACATCTTTCCCCTTGATTAGTGTAGTGACCTCTTAAATGCAATGTCTGGGTCTCTCCCTGTGCCCTTCCATCTGTTTTTTTCTATAGAGCAAGCAGAGAAAGCCCTGTTAAAGATCAGATCGTGTAGCTCCTCTATTTATAGCCCTCCAGTGGCACCATCTCACTCAGAGAAAAGCCAAAGTCATTACCATAGCTTCTAAGGTGGAACCCTATCTTAGCTCTCTCTCTGACCTCATCTCCTTTTGCTCTCTTCTCTCATTGTATCTACCTACAGCATGCTCCCGCTTCCCAGCCTTTGTATAGGTCATTCCTTCTGCATAGAATCCTCTTCCTCCAGTTGTCGTTTTTTTTTTTTTTTTTTTTTTGGCCTGGTGTACTCTCTCATTGGATTCAGGTCCCTTAAAATATGACCCTCTAAGAGAAGCCTTCCCTGAACACTGTGTGTATAGCAGCCACCATCACTCTCCTTTCGTTGCATTGTGTTCTTTTTCCCCATATTACATATCACCATCTGACATATTTACCTGTTTATTTCTTCTGCACAGAATTAAAGCTTCTTTTTTTAAAATATATAATTTATTGTCAAATTGGCTAATATACAGTGTGTAAAGTGTGCTCTTGATTTTTGGGGTAGATTCTCATGGCTTACTATTTACATACAACACCCAGTGCTTATCCCAACAAGTGCCCTCCTCAATGCTCATCACCCATTAGAATTAAGTCTTCTTAAAGGCTGAGACCTTTGAGGTCCCTGCTCTATCTCTGGCACCTATTTTAGTACATGGCACATAGTTGTGTTCATTGAATATTGGTTAGATAAATGGGTGGATTTAGGAGTAAATCAATTATTCTGAAGAAGTATATTATCTAGCGTTTAGCAAAAATAACTCGGAAAAATTTCATTTTAAATAATATTGTATTGAATACTAAACTGATACTTTGCTAAGCATTTTTATTAGCCTTATTGCCAATGAAGGGTATTTTGGTTTATTGTGAAGGAGGGGAATATGTGTATCATACACACACAGACATGAGTTCACATGTGTGTGCAAATACACACATACATATATGTTATGTATGAATGTGTGTGTTCATATATGTATGCATGTATGTGAGTGTGTGGAAGAATGTGCATGTGCTTGTGCATGTGTGTGTATGAGTGTGTTTGTGTTTAAAACTTTTTTTGGCCCAGGAAGGAAATGGCTTCCTACTTAATATCTCATTGGAAAGTCTCCATCTTCTGTCCTAGGAGCTGGTGCCGAAGGTGGACATGGAAGAAGGAGACGGTGGGATCTGCACATGAATGAAGAGACCTGACTGTGAAGTGTTAGAGGATTTATTAAAGAACTGGACAGTTTCCTTTATAGTCTTTGTGAAGCCTCAGAGTTACTAACTGCCAGTGCAATATGGTATCACAAAGATAATAGCCTTTATTAGAAGTTTAGTTTTCTATTCCTACCTTGGAAAGCTGTAGCTTAAGAAACCCAAGTGGTCAACGTTTGTGGCACTTCTCTCTCTCTTCCAGAACCATTTAAAATATATGTTTTTTAAATTTAGTTTTGCCGGAAAAATCTGCATCCAATTTGAATGAAATTGAATATGTTTCAGGGCTCAAGCAGCATGTCTTCCATCTGAAGCAAAATGGAGATGAATTTCAATTAGGTGTTCCCATTATAATCTGTCTCCACCTGTAGTTTTCATCAAAAATTGCTAGGAAGTGTGGTATAATGTATGATCAGGATTTGCCCACTGGCAGCAGTGTCCCATTATCTTAGTAAAAAAGCACAAAATAATTAGTCTGATGCATATAGATAGCAGCTCCTTACAGCGAGTGACTTTAATTGTGGTGAGTAATATATATGGATTTTGAAGTATTATATATTTCCCTCCCAAGAAGACACCAATTACTAATTCAGTTGACAAAGTAACAATATTTCAGAAGATTTAATGCAAACTGAACATCATAGTCAATAGCCACTGTAAAATGTCCATTTTATGGCCTTATTTTTGCCTGAGCTTAATTTATGGTAATTTGGTAGTTGCATATAGCCTGGAAGTATGCTGTTGGCTTGAATTAGTACTTGGGTATTGCATAAATCATAGCTGAATGTGTTGGCTTCGTCTAATTCTCTTTTTTCTCCTACAATTGGAATCCTTCTTATCTTGCTATTTCTCTCTCCTCAATCCTACCTGTCAATTCATGGGGCTCTGAGAGCTCAGTATTTAGGAGATCACTTCTTCATAGAGTAGCATCTTCCAAATGCCAGATAGAGTGTTTCTGGGCTTCAGATGGAGGGAATTTAGCAAGTCCTTTTTTTTTTTTTTTTTTTTTTGGTGGGATAGAGTATTTGTACCATCCCGCCTTAAGTGCTTTAAAAGAAAATATAATTCCTTCTCCTTATCCTCCTACTTGTCTCTTATATGCTAATATAAAAGGTGAGGTTTAAAAGTATTATATTATTTGAACTCATTTTTTCAGGGCAGGTTTATACTAGTTTTTTCAATTTTATTTTTTAATCTGAAACATAGGACCAGTATGCCAGCGTGCTCTAAGCTCACAGGTAATCTACCTGGGTACCTAAATAATATGAATCATCCAACTGTATGGTAAGATTTAGTTTAGGTGACTGGTCTTCAGAGAAATACATTGGATATTTCAGAACTAATGAGATAATTGTCTATCTTCTGCTGTTCTTTTATACTTGCTTATAAAGATTTTGAATTTTTAGTTGTGATTAGTCATTTTAAAAAATGATTAAAAATTTTAAGTCAGTAAATGTCACACCTCTAATTGTTAGCAAACTTATTTTAAATATTGTAGGAAACCATGTTTTAAAATGTAGGTCCTTCTCTTGAACCCATAAAAGCATAATATAATATTGACATCTGTTCCTAAGTTGGATAGCAATATTCTTCTAATTTAGTTATACAACTCTCTTCCTTTACTTATAATCATAATAGTTAACATCTGTATATGAATTGTACAGAACTTTTATATGCATTACCACTTTTAACCCACATATTGCCCCTATGTTGTAAGCATTATTATCCACAATTTAAATGAAGAAACAAGCAAATTTAAAGTGGTATATTTTCTAATTATAAAATGACAAATGTTTACTGAAATGTTTATTGTAGGAAATCTCAAAAGTGTCAAAAGTACACAGGTATTGTTAGTAAGACTGACCAAACAAAAATATAGAAAAGACACAAATTACCAATTTCAGGAATAAAGTAAGTGGGTATCACTACAGATCCCACAGATATTAAAAGGACACTAAAGACAACCTACAGACAATTCTGTGCACATGAATTCCATAATCCAAAATAGGTAAAATGTACTAATTCCTTCCTAAAGTATTTTTTTTGTTACAGGATTCCATGGAGGATACACATTACATTTAGTTGTCATGTATACTTAGGTTCTCTCTCTTGGCTGTGGCAGTTTCTCAGACTTACCTTGTTTTTTTGACCTTGATAGTCTTGAAGAGTATGGTTGGGTCTTTTGTAGATTGCCCTTCAATTGGGATTTTTCTGACTTTTTTTCCTGAATGCTTATTGTTACTATTTTTTTTTGAGAGAGAGAGGGAGAAAGAGAGGGAAGAGCGAGTGTGAGCAGAGAAGGGGCAGAGAGAGAGGGGGATAGAGGATCTGATATGGGCTCTGTGCTGATAGCAGAGAGCTTGACATGAGGCTCAAACCCATGAACTGTGAGATCATGAGTTGAGCTGAAGTTGGATGTTTAACTGACTGAGCCACCTAGATGCGCCCCTGATGTTTTTTCATAGACTGGGGTTTTATTTTTGGGGAAGGAAGATCATAGATGTAAAGTACGTTTTTCATCACATTATATCAAGAGCACATACTACCAATGTGACTGACATATCACTGTTGATGTTGACTTTGATCATCTGGCTGAAATAGTGTTTGTTGTTTTTCAACTGAAAACTGTTCATTTCCCTTGTTTTCCACACTTTACTATTTGGAGGCAAGTTGCTATACCTAGCCCACAATTAAGGAGTGGGGGGTGGTGTTCCTTCTTCCTTGAGGAAAGACTATGAAAATAAACTACTTGAAATTCTTCTGCATGGAAGGTTTAGCTCTTCTCCATCTTTCTTTCTTTCTTTCTTTCTTTCTTTCTTTCTTTCTTTCTTTCTTTCTTTCTTTCTTTCTTTCTCTTTCTTTCTTTCTTTCTTTCTTTCTTTCTTTCTTTCTTTCTTTCTTTCTTTCTATGAATATTTATTTTATGGGTTATAATCCAATATGACTTAGTTTTCTTGCTCAAATTGTTCCAAGTTGGAACATTGGGAACTCTTTCAGTTGGCTCCTGTTTCACTTTCATATGCCCAGATGGTGTTTTTTGTTTTTTGTTTTTGAAAGTACTTCCTTAATTCCTGGCACTACAAGTTGCTCCTGGCACATGTTGCACATTTCCTACTAGGCACCTCTTCTATATTTTCTCTTCCACTCCTAGAATCCCCTGTTCCTCCATTCTCCAAGAAGACTTGGTTCTTTTTCTTGTATAAAGGTATTAGAAACCAAGACCTGAGAATTAAGTTTGTTCACTGCTACTAAGATGTTACTGACACTCTAGGCCCTGTTGGTTCATGGATCAGGGAAATTTATGTTTGCATACTGTGTCTATACATGTGTCTATAACTATTTCTGCATGTAATCATTTTAATTTATATTAAGCTAAACATGAGTTAATGACGTCTCTAACTCTAATTCCATTACCATATGCATCAGAATGATGCTCCTTCTCTTGTTTATCTGTAGACTCCCACTCCAACAGTAAGAATTGGGGTTCCCATCATTCACCATTTATACTCTTAATTGTTTAATTCTGGTATACATGTATAGCTGAGTTAGATTTGTTAACTTTTTCTTGCATGGGAAAAATTTTATCACCTAGAGCATAGTGTTTACCCTTGATCTTAGCTAAAATGATGAGAAGTGACTGGGCATAGCATTTAAATAGAGTTTCTTTTACCTTTAATTTTATAAACTCCACTAATTTCCAAAGTTACTTAGGTCAGCACCACCACTTCCAGTGAGGTTGTTTTATATGTTTGTAATACTGTTAGATTGCTTTGTCACATTCTATATTCCATCCTGGGATCCCATGTCAGCCTAAGTAATTTTTAAAATTTTGCATACATTAAGGTCCATTGTAAAGTTTTAAAAGTTAAATGACTTTGACAGATGCATAATGTCATATGTCAGGAATCATACATCATAGTTACACCACCCTAAAAATTCCCATGCTTCAATTCTCCCTCCTAAACCCCTGGTAACGCCTGATCTTTTTACTGTCTCTATAGTTTGGCCTTTTCCAGAATACCATTTAATTGCATTAAATGACAGTATATAGCCTGACAGTTTATAGCCTTTTCATACTGGCTTCTTTCACTTAAAGATATGCATTTGTGATTCATCCATGTATTCTCATGACTTGATATGTCATTTATTTTTGTTCCCAAATAATATTCCATTGTATAATTGCCATCTGATTTTTTCAAAGGTGCCTAAGTGATTCAATGAAAGAAGTATAGTCATTTTGACAATGTTGGAACTACTTGGGCCTGTTTACAAACCATAACACTCAATCTTTCATAAAAACCTTGTATAAAAATCAACTAAAAATGAATTGCAAATCTAATTTTAAAATTATGATAAAACTTTTAGAGGAAAATATTCATGACCTGTGGTTAAGCAAAGTGTTCTTAGATGGAACTCCAAAAGCAAGATCCATAGAAGAAGCTGGTAAATAAGAATTCATCAAATATAATACCTTTGCCCTGCAAAAGACTCTATTTAGAGAAAAAAACTATAGACTGGGAGATAATATTTGCAAACCACATGTCCAACAAAGGACTTGCATCCAAAAAATATAAAAACTATCCAAACTCAGTATATTGGGTGGCTCAGTCAGTTAAGCATCTGACTCTTGATTTTGGATCAGGTCATGATCTCATGGTTTGTGAGACTGAGCCCCACATCGGGGCCTGCTTAGGATTCTTTCTCTCTCTCAAAATAAAAAAAAAAAAAAAACATTAAAAAAGAAAAACCTCTCAAAACTCTATAGTAAAGAAACAAGCAAACTAATTTCAAACTTGGGAAATACTTGGACAGGTACTTCACCAAAGAATATATACAAATGGCACATGAAAAGATGTTCAACACCATTAACCAACAGGGAAATGAAAATATGTGGTCTGGCTCCTGAGTACTTGTCTGAATTCCTCTCCTGTGTTTTCCTATCCCACTTGCTCCACATCAGCCACACACATATCTTTGCTGTTCCTAGAATGTCCCAGATGCAGTCTTGACCTCTACCTGAAATTCACTTCCTCCAAATATTCACAAAGCTATCTCTCTTAGCTTTTGCAACTTTTGCTAAATGTCACTGCCCTAATGAGGCTTACTCTTTCCATCACATTTAAATTGCAATCCCCTGTCCCTGTACTCTCATTTCTTTTCTATTTTACTTTTTTTCATAGCATTTATCATCTTCCAACAAATTGTATAAGGTACTGATTATATTCATTATTTGTTGATTACCTTTACCTACTAATATCTAAATTTATGAAGACAGATATTTTGGTTTTTATTTACTGATGGATTCCAGTAGTTGGCATATAGTAGATTAATAGTAAATATTTATTGCTTATGTTAAAGAAATAAAGTTGTTACCCACCATTTTATAGAATGTTTATATTATGATCTAAATATCAAACATCATTTTTATGTGCTTTAAATCCTTATTAATTTAGTGATTAGTTATAAGGGGTAGTTGTGTACCATTACATTTACCTTATCTGCA